TTCACAAAGGGCTTGTACAAGATAAACTTAAAGTATAACTTTATCACCACTAAATACAGAACATGATTACATTATAGTAAATGTTTTTGTCTCTCTAGCTTTATTCCTAAAATTTATTCATCTTAGCTGTCCAGAGTTCCTTTTGAGCATCTATTAATAATTGAAGAAAATTTCCAAAGCCTACAGTGAGATTTCATGTGCTAGAACTGAATCAGAAAGAGCAGGACCTAAAGACTTGATTGAAAACTAGGAAACTAGATTTTAGAAATGGAATATGGGATATATAACATTCTGCTTCTATACAGGTATTCCTGTTGTCTCCTATACCTAATCTGAATTTTATTTCTATCTCCTAAAGCCAGGCCAAAAGCCAGGTCTGAGAATCTTCCTCTGATTCAACTTCTCCTCATCCAGGTGACTGCTGTCTCCTTATACTTCTCCTAATACTACAGACTACTGTAGTATTTGGTCTGCACTTTGCCATTCTGTACCTGATACTGCTGTACAAATTGTTCTATTTCATGTGTATTGTCTTCCCAAGCAGCTTAAACATGAATGACTTTGGGGAGGTCAGGTACTATATCATTGTTCTATGGTGAGCCCCCTTAGATATCCTATGGAGTGTCTGTGACCTCTCATCTAATCCATACAGATCTACACTGGGGTAGTAACACTTAACTCTTACAGAGAATAAGAGTGAATGGACATTATTAGACTTTAACTCCTTTAGCAAGGCTGGATAATTTCAAGTGAATGGCCCTGAGTACAATGGCTACAGAGGGGAACCTGACTTCTTACTTCTGTTGAAGGACCCTTTTAATGAAAGAAAAAGACAGTATAAGTCAGTTGACTTCTAATTAAACTGTAGCCTATACACTCCCTGTTTGGTGCCCATCAAATCAATTGTTTGCCAAAGTGGGAAATGAATGGATTTCCAGGCAGGGTTGGTGGTTTTAAAGCAGTGTTGATAATTCTGGAAAAATAGGACACTCATATTGGTATAATTTCTAGATTAGCCCCAGAAATCAAGTAAGACAGAATTGGTGTACAAAGCTCTTACATGTTAATGGTCCTCATTAAATCTATGCTTGTAAAACACATTTCTTCTGAAAAATGGATACACATTACTGTTCTTTTCTTGATCCTTCTGTGAATAACCATCTCTTTGGAAACATAACCTTACTAAGGAGCCCCATGCACTTCTCCTAAAATAATAAAAATTTCCTTATTTCAAGAACTCTTATTTGAAACAAAGGCAGTTTTTACTGTTGAATACTTTAGGAGCAAATGACATTGTGTGTGGCCTTTTATAAATGGCTAAAGCCAATCAACATTTGGGAGGTGTGTGTTTAATACTAGCTGATGCTGGGCTTAATCCTCTAAGAGTATGGTACTTTAGGAAAATGAAGAGAATTATCAGATACTAGGAACTGGGCATAGGCCTATTCAAAATGGCAGCTTACAGCCACCTTTAGGGCTATTACTTATAGAACATGCCAATCATGAGCAGAGAAGGAAGAACACAAGGAAGAACCTAATACATGATAAGTGTATCTCGGTTTTCCATTCTAATTTTTTTCATTTAAAAAATGCTAGTCATGACTCTTTACTCCCACATCCCATTAATAGCTCAAAACCTATAGCATAAAAGAGGGCCAACGGTCTGGTATTGCTGCATGTATCTCTGATATTTTCATTTTTTCTCATTGTTTCCTCCTTCTCTAGGTCTAGTAACTCAGGATGCCATTTCTTACTTTGTGGGGGCCATTAGTTTCAACCTCTTTAACACCTGGCATGTACGTAAAATGGTCATCAACTTTGCTGTGGTCTTTTACTAAGTACTTACTTTTAGTAGACAGTTTTCTGTCTGGCATTGTCACCTCTACCTTTCATGGCCCAGATTTTTTATACTAAATTACAAAGACAAAACTTTTACAAAATTTTTGAAATGATAGCTAGCTTTTACTTAAAGGAAATAATTGAAGTAGGACTAATACTTTTTTTGGAAAACATAGATGGTGAAGTTGCTGCAGTTTAAAAGTTATAGAATACTACTAATGTACTGAAATGGAACATGAGAAGTACGAACATGCTTTCAAACATGTTTAAGAAATACACCAATTTATTAAATCAGGTTGTATTTATTAAAAGCAGAATACAAAATACCTTGAAATTCAAAGATTATCTATTGTGATGTTTATCCCCAACAGGGTTAGTCCTAAAGAAAAAAGTTAATTGTTTTAAGGGAGGTAATAGAAAAATTTTAAGTCAGAATTATACATCTAGTTTGATAGAGACTGAGTTTATTCAAGCTGACAGGCCTCAGTATGTTCCTCCAAGTTTTCAACCATTAACAGCCCAAACCGGTTGCTTCCCTCATACCAACACCCCGTGTGTGAGGTAGTTCCCATTCTGTTCTTTGACCAGTTGGTACCCTGTTTCTTCTGCCTTTTTTTTTTTGAATTTGATTTAACTTTTGGTAGGAATAACTCAGCAGGGGCATATGACCTTGTGGCATTGAAAAGATGTTGGTAAAGTTGCTTAGCCTTGGGACATACGCTCAGGAGATTTTCTACAGAGGTTGATGCTAGCAATTGTTGGCATAGTCCATGTACCAGGCTTCCGCAGTACAGTCTGTTCAATGGGGGAAAAAGTGTATTGTTAAAAGTACTGGTTCAGTGCAGTAGGACAACTGTCATTAACAAAGCTTCAACAAATGCATTTAAACAATGAAAGTTCCTAATTGTTTCTATAAAATTATTAAAATTACTTAAGAATAAGCTGTTCCTTGAAGGGCAGAACTGAGTTGTTATTACAAAGATTACTTCCTTGCTGATGATATTTAAAAACTTATCAACAAATTAAATGATGGATGCTGAGGGGTTTTGCAGCTAGCCCCAAGTTGAGCAGGCCTCTTTATCACTTCAGAGAAAAGGAATTTAAAATGACCTTGATAAACCAAACTGGCAATTTGTTAAAATATGAGAAAATACGGAATCATTTACAAAGTTATTCACTTCAACAAAAAACCTACTTCACAAATGAAAGATGGGATTAACTCGAATGCACAAGTTTAATATATATGACTTGTGTCTAGAGCTGATCGAAGGGTACCTTAGCAATCCATGTAGAACCATCATTTAGTGTAAAATCTTTGTTTAAAAAGACTTGGTTACGCTGAGATGAAAGAACAGTCCTAAAATCATTATTAAGAGAACTATCTGGTCATGTTTTTCCTGTTTTGTTTTAAAGGGATTCATGGTAACTAGAGAAGATCAAGTAAAGAATGACCAGTAAAGAATAACCTAAATTATTAAAGGAAAGGAATAAAGAATCCATAGATCAAAGGCTAACTACTCTTATTTGGGTTAGCTCAAATATAAGGCCCAGAGATGTATTTACAACACTATTTACTGCTAGGAAGCTTTTCACCTTGAATCAAAAGTCCACCCATAATTGGGTGGACTCCATAGATCCTCCATAGATGGATCTATGTAGGATCCTCCATAGATCATTGAAAGTATTGAACGCCTCCATAGATCATTAAAAGTATTGAAAGCACTAGGGCTACAATGGTAAATAAATGTCTCCATAGATCATTGAAAGTATTGAAAGCACTGAGGGCCGGGCGTGGTGGCTCATGCCTATAATCCTAGCACTCTGGGAGGCCGAGGCGGGCGGATTGCTTGAGGTCAGGAGTTCGAAACCAGCCTGAGCGAGACCCTGTCTCTACTAAAAACAGAAAGAAATGAATTGACCAACTAAAATATATATATATGTATATATAAAAAATTAGCCAGGCATGGTGGCGCATCCCTGTAGTCCCACCTACTCTGGAGGCTGAGGCAGAAGGATTGCTTGAGCCCAGGAGATTGAGGTTGCTATGAGCTAGGCTGATGCCACGGCACTCACTCTAGCCTGGGCAACAAAGTGAGACTCTGTCTTTAAAAAAAAAAAAAAGAAAAGAAAGCACTGGGGCTACAATGGTAAATAAAATAGACAAGTTCCTGTTCCCATAGAGCTTACATTTGAGAGGAGAGACAAAGCACATATACATTTTCTAACCATATTCCTCCCTTTTCTAACCATATTTTCTAACCATATTCCTCCCTTTTAATCTTCTTCCCTTTCTTCTAGTACCTCCTGGATGGACAGTTACCAGGATGTCCAATCCATTGATCCTACCACTTTTTTCACTGGCCCACACCCTAGTGCTATCATTTCTTTCTATCTTACCCAGTTAAAACTCCATAGTCAAGCATTATAATTAGCTCCCTTACTCCCTATCCCTTCTTTGTGCTTGCCTGGCAAAACAAACACTAGAAAAAGTCCACTTAGGCACATAATAATAGTCATCTCACTTCGAATGAAAGCTCCATAAGAGTAGAGGTATTTCTGTTGTCACTACACCCTAGCACAGGCATTTAATAAATATTTAAATGAATGGATGAACAATATGTCAGGTGGGAAGAAATGCAATAAGAACATACAACAGTAACAGGACTAGAGTGACTAGGGGAAGACAGTAATATCTCAGTAAGGTCATTAGAAAAAGCCTCTGTAAAGTGATATTCAATCGAAGACCTAAGGAAATGAGGGAATGAGTTGTATCTTATCAACAACTGCCTCTTTTTTTCCTCCTCATATTAGTGTTTCACTTAAGGAACTGATTTTTAAAAACTGGATCCAGTCATGGAAACATTCTTTGGGAATATGGAAATAATTTAATATTTTTCCTGTTTCCAGCTCTTCAGCTATACCACTGATCCAAGATCAATTATACTAAAATTAGTTTATTTTTAAAGTAACTTCTTTGCTTTAAAATATAAGTAAAAGTACTGTATTTGCTATTGTGTGCATCTATCTGAACTAAAGTTTCCCGTGGTGCTTACCGAGTTAGGTCTGGCTCTGGGAGAGGAGTGGACAGAAGCTGATTGAGATACACCCCCATCTGGAGACAGCACTGCCACTGACAGAAGATGTGAGCCGTGTCTAAATCCAGTCTCGTGCCCAGCCGCGTCTGCTCCTTCACTCTTTGGAACTCTTCATACAACACCTTAGCACCATCTTCCTGCAGATCTTCCTTACCTAGATAAACAACCCACGGGCAATATTTCCAAAAACAATGTAACAGCTTGTAATTTTCTCTACATATAAAACCACAAATTCCACAAAGAAAAAAAAATTTAAAAAACTGAAATGTTTCTTTTCTGGCTTTGTAAATGCCTTGCTGTATAGATTGAAATATTTATTCTGAAATACCTTTTTAATGATAACCTAACTTTATTCAACTCTAAATAATTTATTTTTTTCCCTGAAATAAGATCTCTTCCACTGGTCCACTACCTGACCTTAAACATGTCTGCATCTTAATTCTCTAAACCTTAAATCTGTGTCTATGAAAAATACAAATGACTATTCAATATCATTCTCTTTATTGTTCTCTTTCACTAAACTTCCTTTCATGGAAACTCCCATGCTGTAATGGACTTGATTTAAAAAAACAACCCACGTGTTCAAAGCACATTTTAACCTGTTTATAGGAGGAAACGAAAGTATGACTCAGAGAATTTGGCAATAATCAGCTTCTTTACATAGTAGAGGATAAGGGGCAAGAAGCAACAACCCTAGGAAATATATAATGTCGGGTGGTTTAGCTGTATGTTTCTGCAGATTTGTTTGAGCTGGGGTGCACAAAATAACATCTGGACCAATTTGAAAGTAATAAAAAAGAGGCCCACCTTTTATCAATTAGCGAGCAGCAAGGCACTGAGCCTGCCTGGGTGCGGGGTCCACATTTCCTAAAAGAAAAGAAACAGACCCTTGACATGCCCCTTCTGCTGGACTCAGATAAAAAAAACTTTATAGGCTTGTGCTCTGAGAATTTTCTTAGCTTGTATTTATTACTCAAGGAGAGGAAATAGCCTAAACCTGTGTTCTTAAAGCAGCAGTGGGCCTTAACTGATTCAAGTTGCCCGTCATACATATTACAACAGTTCCTCTGGCGGCTACTGTCACACACACTTGGGTGTTTTAGGAGTCCATGCTGTTTCATTCTTTGATTTAACTTATTCTTTTAAAAAAGTAAACTATAGAGTAGCACTTTCCAACAGAACTTTCTGCAGTGATACGAATGCTCTATATCTGTGCTGTCCAATACAGTAGCCACATGTGACTACTGAACACTTTAACTGTGGCTTCACATTTAGCTGTGAAGCTAAATTTTGAATTTAACTTTAAATAGCCACATATGGCTAGAAGCTACCATATGAGATAGTACTGTTCTACAGTGTGATAATTATTATACATGTTTAGATAATGTTATATCATTCAAAATCTTTAAAGAGAATATTCCATTAGAGAAATCAGCATTCTAATGATTCAGCATTTATTTCACCTGGTATTTAAATGCAGATGAAATTGCCTCTGTGTATTTCTCTAGTAGAAAGAGAAGTTACTAATTCTACTGCTAGTACTTAAGTACTAATTGGAACTTACAGCAGAGAAAAAGGAATAAAAAGATTAGTTAAAAAAAAAACAGCAGTCATGAATGTTTATAGTAGTTAAAGGTATTCAGAAGTTTCTGGGCAATTTTAAATAAGTGGTGGTGGTGCTGCTGTGTTAATAATGGGGTGGGGAACATGATATACAAGTTAAAATATTAAGTGCTACAGTGCAGGCGGGAGTAGGCAGTACCTAGCTCATCTGAGTGCTGTATACTTGGAGTCAAGCCCTCCAGCACTGAGCCTGGCACATGGAATTGTTTAGTGTTCAGAAATATTTACCAATGAATGAATGATACTTTAATGCCTCTACTTCTAAGTTCTGATATAACTGATGGGAGTAAATAATCCAAAAATATTTTTTTCTTTATGTAAACTCTCCAGTATACAGTTTGTAAGTGACATGCAAAAACATACTCCTGGAATTTCCAGATACCTACCAGGGCTATTGATAATGGCATGCAAGGGCCCCATCAGCATCCCCAGCAGCAAGGCCTGTAGATGATGCAGCTTTGCCTTGGCCTCTGTGTGCTGCAACCAGTAGCAACTGACAGCAACGGGCAATTTCAATGAAGTAGGAATTGGCTCCAGGATGGTCGGTTTCACTTTCAGGGTTTCTAACAGAAGTATCTGTCGCCTACCCAAGGAGAGCTGAAAATATACACCAAGAAGCATCCTGCAAGTTACTTTTGGGGAATGTCTATTTTTTTTTTTTTAATAGCATGAAGATACTTGCAAATGAAAACTCTGTGCCAGCTGTTAAACTTATCTTCCTGTGGGGAAAAAAATCAGTCATACTCAAGGCATTTAGAACATCAATAAGATGCTTAATAAATGTGGTTGGTTGAATGGGTAAACGGCCTACTCCTGTCACACATCCTTTACGTCTGTCATTCTATCCTCTCTGTATAGGCTGATGAGTGTCTTCAGTGCACACACATTTGGAGGCTTGTTAAAAATTCAGTTCTCAAGCCCCACCCCCTAAATTTTGATTTGGCTATCTGAAGAGAGTCCAGGAACATACATTTTCACTAGCAGCCTGAGTATTGTACTTTGAGAAACAAAGCTCTATCGGAGACCCTACCCTTACTTGCCTATGCGCACTTAGGTATTATCTCCTCCATTATGCTATTACTGATTATCTCCAGAAGATGACAGAGTTAGTTTATACACTCTTTTTGTGGCATATCAGATCCTGTCTCATGTCCCCTCCCTGCTGAATGTTTTATTGTCCCTGCGTTCACTACAAGGTACCTTCAAGGGAGATAGGAATTTTTTGTTTCTTAGATAGGGTCTCGCTCTATAGCCTGGGATGAAGTGTAGTGATGTCATCATAGCTCACTGACCTAGAACTCCTGGGCTCAAGTGATCCTTCTGCCTCAGACTCCTGAGTAGCTGGACTACTGGTGTGTGCCACCACACCTGGCTAATTTTTTGTAGAGATGGGGGTCTCACTCTTGCTCAGGCTGGTCTCAAACTCCTGACCTCAAGTGATTCTCCTGGCTCAGCTTCCCAAAGTGCTTGGAGTACAGGTGTAAGCCACCACACTTGGCCAAGAAAGGAATATTTTAAGTACTACTTGCATTGTGCTTGCAATAACATACCACACTCACTGTACTTCCTGCTTTAAAGTGCACTTCAAATAAGCTCAGAAGTAATCAGGTCTGAACTTCCTGTTGAAGTAATTTTACCTTAATGAATCTCAAAACTTTTAATAACCATAAAGGACCTTATAGGTCACACACTCTTACTGATAAGGAAATTAGGACTATTAAAAGTACATCTTAATCTCTAATTATAATATGTTTACATTTGTATATAATTACATGGTTTAATAAAAATAATTTAACAACAACAACAACAAAAAGTACATCTTAAGGGGGACTTTATAATCAAACTTGATGAAAAAAATAGTTAAATTCCTAGTATCTGCATGGAGCCAGAAAAAGATTTTCTTCTTTCTGGAAGGATGAGACAGTCTGGTACATTTCTCGGCACCTAACACCTAGTTAGTAATCAGTAAGTGTGGTTGACAGCTGAGAATAAAGATGCTAGCCTGAAGTAAAACACATCATGACAAAATAGTTTTATCATCAGTGTATGAAAACTTTATTACAATCATTTCTAAATGCTGGTTTTAATAATACTGTAACAAAATTTTTAAAATCAGAAATATGCAAAGTGCTCGACAGTGTAAATCAATCACCCCTACTGGAAGTAGCATTAACAAATTAAGTTTAAAGTCAGATAAAAACTAATCTGTTAAACTGGTTTAAAACACGCACTAAGCTAAGACAATACAATAATTCTTTTTGGATATATATGCTTAAATTACTGAATTCTAGAACCAAGTTACAACTTTCATAAGCAAAACTTAGTCTGGGCTTTGACTTCACACATGTTCTGCTCTGTACTAACTCTACAGCCTTTGGCAAGTTTCTGAGGTTTTCTATACTTAGTCTGATCATCTGTAAAATGGGCATTATTATGAGTTGCACAAGATGTTTCATCAAACCCACCAGTCTTCAGCCCCTTCCAAAGGGGAACTACTGTGCTCAACAGCTCTTAAGCTAGTTAGGGCATGTAACAACTCCTTCCCTTCTCCCCCAGGGGAAGCAAAAGTACAAGCCTGCAGAAGTTACCCCAGAGAGGCAAAGGCGCCCAGAGATGATGGTCTCAGCACTGCCTCACTGTCTAAGAATGATCCACTTCTGTGTCTCCTCATGATGACCCTCCCATTGGTTAACTTGAGTGGTGCTCTGCCCATTGCAACTAACATAACCAAAATGAAACCCTATCCCATGTGGTTACTGGGGGAAATTAAATGAGAGATTATATAGTTAGTTTCTTTTACCAACAGCTGGCACAAAAGAGAGAAGGTATTATTACCACATCATGTTAAAATGGACAGGTACTATTACAGTGTTTCTCTACTTGTACCTGCATTTGTGTTTGGAATCACATTTGTACCTGGTACCATTTAGAATTTTCATGGGCTAAGAGACAACAGCATTGAACTGAATATAGAATTCATTAATTAATGCCAAGGGAAAGCCAAATGATATCACAGCAGAGAGAGAGAACTAAAATTTTACCCTACTTTAAATCCAAGTAAATGATGAGAACACTTGAGTCACCTCTACTTAAAGCAAAGAATATAATCAGCCTGCTGCACTAACTGATTCAGTTGGATTTCCATATGGAGGAAAAAGTGTCCTGATCCCTATTTCACACCATATATACAAAAACATCAATTCTAGATAGACTGTAGATCTAAATGTGAAAGATAAAAGACTGGAGTAGGCCACCAAAGTGGTTACCATAAATAATAAAAATTTAGACTGCATTAAAAACTTGTGTTCATCAAAACATAATCAAGAGTGAAAAGACAATGGGAGAGGCTATTCACAATATGTTATTTGACAAAGGACCAAAGACTTTGTCAGAAACTTCACATAACAGAATATTGTATGGCCAATGAACACATGAAAAGGTGCACAAATATGTCATCAGAGAAAAGCAAATTATCCACCAAAATGGCTAAAATGATACTACTACACTACCAGAATAGCTAAAATTTTAAAAAGGATAGAAAATACTCAAATATTGGCAAGGGTGTAAAGTAAAAAGTTACTCTCATATGCTACTGGTGAGAATATTAATTGGTACAACCACTTTGCAAAAGCATTTGGCAATATGTCTTCTAAGCTAAACATATGCATATCCTATGACTCAACAATTAATTCTACTCGTTATATATGCAATAGAAATGTGTCCAGGTGTTCACTAAATGATGTGTACTAGAATGTTCATAATACCATTCATAACAGCCCAAAATGGAAACTACCCAAATGCCCATTAGCTGGAAAATGTAAAGATCAATTGTAGTATATTTCCACAGTATAACATGTTACAGCAATGGGAAATAAATGACGTAGTCTGAGATGCAATGGCTGGATATGTGCCTATGTGTACACTTTTTTTTTTGGTAGTTCAGATTTTTTTCCTTTGTTTGAGTCCTAGCACTGATACTCTGGCTAAGATATTGCCTACTTCACTTGAGTTCTAGTTTTCTCAGCTATGAAATGAGGTCAAGACAGCACCCAGCCACATAGGTTTGTTATATTAAGAGAGAGAATAAATATGAAAGCACTTTGTAATCTGTAAAGTGCTTTACAAAAATTTCATCAGTATTACAAATACTTACCTCAGTCAATTTGCTTAAGTCAGAATGATCCTTGGGCAGTTCTACTGCACCAATAATCGATGTTTTGATATTTTTATTAATCCTTTCCACTTCACTGAAAGCTAGAGGCTGAGGAGGCACTGCATTCCAGGACACATTTCCCAGATGTGGTGAAGCATTCAAAAGAAGCCCATAGATGATTTGTCGGATGGGCTGAGATATTCTGTGGGCATTTGGTCGCTGCATGTTTTCCACCTGTGTATGAAGAAAGGTCCGTCTTAGGACCAAAGCATCACTGATGAAAGGAGATAGCTGGCCTTTAGTTAAAGCCACTAGTACCCATTCTGGTAAACCCAGATTCAAGGTGTCTGGGCAGACATAAGAACCATACTGGAAAAAGTCCTGTAGCTTCACCTGGGACTGCTGGTATTCTTCCATGGAACAGCAGAGAAGTTCCTTAACATTTTCTCGATCCTTTTTTGGGAGATATTTCAGAACATTATCTAGTGCTTCAGTAGGGTTGTCAAAATGAGACAACCAATTCAGAAGTCTCAGAACTCGGTGGTGTCTCCTCCCCTTAGAACTGGTAGCTCCAAGAGGAAGACGTGCTTTACTTAAGAATGTCTCCAGGATAGGCAGATTAATATGGTCATTTCCACATAGCACCGCGAAGAGAGGTAGAAGAGCTTTATTCATATTGTTGAAGTGACGGCAGAACGCGTCAAGGGAAAAGCATTTAGCAGGGATATAGTATTGTGTGCCCTTAATAGTGTTCATATTTCTCCACTGAAAGCTATTTAATGGGCAAAACCCAGTTTTCAAGTCAAAAATACAAAAGTCACTGTCCGATGATAAAACAGGGCAATTCCAATGATTAGCAAGTGTCATAATGTCCCGATCTGCTTCTGAAAAGCACTGGACAAAACATACCTGCAGCTTGATCAAAACCTGTATGAACACTTCCCGGATGAGTAAGGGACACACACACCCACCCCCACCAAGTGAAAGGGAATGGGCTGTCTGGATCTTCTCTCTAGCACGATCCTTTAAAGTGGTAAGCTTTTTATCAGAAATGTCACATCCTCCATCTAATACAACATATGGATGTATATTACATGCAAACAGTGATTCAAAGAAATTTTGTACAACATCTGTAAAAGAATCATAGTCCCCTCCATACCGGAGCTCCAGGTTTGAATTGAAACAAAGTCTGTGGAAAAGAGCATAGCCGTCAATGATAATTTTTGTGTCCCGCAACTTCAAATCTGTGAAGAATTCATTACTATGATCTTCCACAAAACTCATTAGTCCTCGGATACCCATGATGACAGTCTGAATAATTGCCTGTTTAAAACAATAGAATGCATTTTCAACTGATGCTGGTTATGAGGCACCAGGTCATTGCTTCCACCACCATTAAATCAAGAGCAAATGTTATGAAGTGTTCATTAGATAGAACGTGCTGGATGCCACCATCTCTGAATTCTTATCTAGATCCTCAGTCAACGCTAGTTGAGTGCTTTTTCATTGTCATTTTGCTTTCCCCATGTGTTGTAAGGCATAAGCTCAGTGGTTTCAAGGGTCTTGATCTTTGTATAGGGATGGAGGCTGATGCTGATTCTAAAGAAAAATTAGTTAAAAGTCCATTACTGATACACCAGTATAGTGTCGGCCTTTTTACTGAGGTAGTAATAGTCAACATCTTACAATACAGAGCATTTGTTTTGTGGGGTCAAAGTAAAAAGTCCTAAGCTGTAAAAATGATATCCTTATTGATCTCATAATAAAGCAGAAAGCATTTAGTCTTCCGTAAACTAAAGTATGGAGGACCTATGATAGGGATCCAGTTTTTTTATTGGCAGCCTGGGAACTTTTTTCAGGCCTTGGGCTTGTGGGACCATAGTTTTTGGTTAAGAAAAACTGCTCCACACTTTTAGGAACCCAACTATCCAGTTTCACCCCTAGCCAGAGGCTCTTTTCATAATCTTATCTTTGCATATTTGGCGCAGTTACCCTTCCCCATCTGACTCACTTAACTCACAGGATCAGTATTAATGGTTTTTCCTTTGGCCTCTGGCTTCAGTATTGCTCAGCATGGCACTATTAGTAATCCTGTCTTTATTTAAAATCCTGACGTTTTGTCAATCAGGATTTTTTGGCATTAATTTTGATTTTTAGAGATAAAAATTTATCTGGATTACTTTTTTGGCATCACTTAAAATTTGCGCTTAACTCACCTCATCCTAGTCCCAGCCCTGTCTCCGCACCTTATCCTGTACTTTTTTTAAAAGTCTGTCTTGTAAAGCTTCAACGGGCAGAGACCTTTGACTCTGCAAATAACAGGACCTGACACACAGAGTAGATAAACAAACGCGAGCTGGTTAGGTGAAAGGCGAGCAAAAGGTCTAAGTTCTCAAACCCAGGCTTTCATACACCGTGCCACCTGGACCCTCACAACCCGCCTCCCCGACCAGCAGCAGAGCCCACCTGCTCTGTCCTCGCAGAGGTCAAACTCCTCCACCAGAAGCCCGCTGGAGCCCAGAAAGGACTGGCAGCTCCAGCACATGAGAGTCCAACTCCGGGAACGGGAACCGGAAGTTGCTGGATATGACGTCACTAGGAAGCGCGGTTCCGTGAAGCCAGTGGCGCTAAACTCCCCCGCGGGAAGGTGATCTCAGTCGTGGAGGCGCCAAGTTGCTAACGAAGGCTGGGACGTAACTAAGGCTGTCTGGTTAGGGAAGCCCGGCCCGCCGGGCCGCCTCTCTTTCTCTTGCCTGCTTGGGTCAGAAGACACTTCCGCCTTGGTGACCGCCCCACCCGACTTCCCAGCTTGCCCCGCGCGGTCTCCTTGGCGACGGTGCCAAACAGCCGTGGCCCACGGTGGTCTGGAGTTGGCGGGGTCCGCTGCCCCCAGGTTGAGACTTGCCCAATTACGGGTGGGATTCGGGTATGCCCCGGCGCCGCCGCTCCTCAGCCCGTGACAGGGAAAGGTAATGCGAACCGCGCTATTCCGGGCTCCCCTGCACAGGGGAAGGTAAAGGTTTCAAGCTTCCCAGGCTGGGTTCTTCATTTTTAGGGCTGGCTCCATTCCTGCGACCTTCTCCTTTTCCTGGACTCCTTACCTCCCGGATCTACTCCAGTCTCCGGAGAATTTAAGTGTTTAAGAATTTAAGTGTTGCTGGTGTCCCTCAATAAACATTAACCCACTTTACGAAAATGTAAATGTTTAAAAAGTTGGAAGTAGTAAGGATTGTTCGTTTTACCTTACGGTTAAACTTTATCTTTAAGGTTAAGTTCCTACTTTAGTAGAACTTGTCACATTGGCTTTCTCTCGTTTATTACTTGGGGAGAGAACTACTCAGCTTCAACCTGTGATAAATACTCCCTCCCCTTTTTTGCCCCCAGCCAGATGTTTCACCTTGAAGGGATAGTTTGCACAGAGCTAGATGGGAACTTTCTCCAAGTTCCCATCTAGCTTTTTAAACCAACTTTGTTTCCCCATGGGGTGGCAGTCGGTCTGCCGGTCATTTATTCGCCCTAACAAAGATTATTGAATACCTACTATATGACAAGAGTTCTGGCAGGCACTGAAGATGCAAAGATGCATTAAGTGTTTTCCAGGTGCTCAAGTTCATAAACAACCCTTGATGGCTGGGAGGTGATTCTAGTTCTAGAATCTAGACAGCGGGGCACATTCTGGCATAGCTCTATGGTTGCACAGAGGAGACTTATGGAATGGATGGCCTAAAAGTGGACTGGGATGGAGGTGGCAGAGCTGAGTCTGTGAGATTGGGTAGTAGGGAACCTAATGCCAAAGTCCTCTACAGCCTGAGCCAGACTGCTTAGGCACTGCTGAGTTCAAGCTCTCATTTACAAATAGGAGCCGCTGGAAGTGGACTTATGACTATTCTGTCCATCTCTAATTCCGTTCTTCACTAAATGGGGACCTTAATCTCGTCTTTAAAATAAGAAGAATTACTGAGTGGTCTGAAGAACTCTTTTCAGTTGAAAAGGCTGACAGTCCATATATTTTTTTGAACAACTTAGTTTTCCTAGAAAGCATCACTTTTATACCAGTGAAGGAAGAAAACAGAAGGTACTTTTAGAAATCTGTTCTCTAGTTGTTTTTTTTCTTTTATTTATATTTTTTTATAGTTCTCTTTTTTTATTATATTTTATTTATTTTTCTTCTCTACCTTCTTCATAGCAGTGATTCATGTACCTCTAGTTGTTTTTACAGCAGTATGTTTCACTAGCATTTCCTTGGGGTGGGGGAAAACATAGTTACTAATGTCACTGGCATCACGTGTAACTTAACTGATAAATATATTTCAAGAAGAAATATGTTATAAATGGGCATTTACTTATGTTCTATTTTGAGGATTTTTGTGGTTAATTGCCCTGGTGGTTTTTGTGGTTAACTGACACCACTGTGCAAAGCCCATTGGCCATCATTATAAACAATAGGTTTTTATCTGACAGCTTTGGAATTGTTGAATATGAAAACCTACTCCAAGGCATAGACAGTCTTCAATTTAAAATCACGTTTTCACATAGATTTAAAACAAAAACACTTTTTGTAATTAACAAAAACATTTAACATTTTAATGAAATCAAAATGATGATTTTACCATGTACCTACTCATATAACACAGGCTAGAGTGCAGTGGCCCGATCATAGCTCACGGTAATCTTGAACTCCTGGGCTCAAGTGATCCTCCTGAGTACCTGAGACTAAAGGTGAGTGTGAAGGTTTTTATTTTTTTAATTTTTAGTAGAAATGGGGGTCTTGCTGCATTGCCCAGGCTGGTCGTAAACTCCTGACCTCAAGCAGTCCTCCCACCTTGGCCTCCCAAAGTGTTACAGACATGAGCCATGGTGCCTTTCATACTTTGCTATACATCTCATAGCTCCTTGAGAATACATATTTACCTATAACACATTTATATTCCATTAATATTAAAATATAGTTTTATATTTGAATCAAATTTATGATACTTCCTGTTTTTAATTAAGGAAGATTACTGTATACATACATAGTGTGTATATTAAAAACTTTAGATCAGAATTAGCATGGGAAAAAATTCACTCTGAATCCAACCTCACATTTATTCTAATAAATGAAAACTGGCTTTAAAGTGTATAGGAAAAAAACATCTAAAGGAAACAGCATCATGCTAATTCATGGTTTAACCCTAACTTACTGTTTTTCAACCAAAATAATCATAAAGTAGGAAGAAAGCCTTACAAAAAGTTTGATGCAAATGTATAGATTTAAGAAAGTGATAATGTTCTTGTATTTGGACATTTTTTTAAAGTAGATAGGCACTATAAATCTTAAACAAATGAACAGATTATTTATTGTAAAACAGATATACATAACAGAATTTTGTGGAAAGTTGGCTGCAATTGAATTCTGTTAACTTTCAACATGCAAAGGGAGGCTTTTCCTGTGGAAGATTGCCTTCTACTGGAATGTGCAGTATCTCCGCCTTTTAACATTTTTCTCTTAAGTTGCTAACCAATACGGTATCATTCAATCTGCTGATCAAGATGCAGATATCATTGTCAAAACCTTACACTTCTTGTTAGGAATAGTTTAGCATCCTTTAGACCTACCCTTTGGACTTTCCATCTTTAAGGCATTGACGAGTACTACTTGGATGAATTTGACCATCTCTTAGAAATGAATGCTAAATTTCTATAAATGAATAAACCAGTTCTTTCTTGTTTGGAGCAATGCTGAAATTCCAAGAAGCTGCTAAGTGTATGAATGGATCAACAGCCATTTCCACTTATCCAGAGACCTTGGTAGCAAGAAGATATGTGCTTCAACAGAAACTTGGCAGTGGAAGTTTTGGAACTGTCTATCTGGTTTCAGACAAGAAAGCCAAACGAGGAGAGGAATTGTAAGTAAAAATACTTCATACAAATCTTGGTTGCCCTATATGTTCAGCTTTTAGCTGATTAAGAACATAGATTTGTTCTTTGCATTAAAGCAAGAATTTAGTATAGATGGGAAAGTTCCTTTACTGATCCCTTCAGATGAGGCTTTTAAAGGCATTTCAGCCAGTGAATGAAGTATCCAAATAACCTAAAGAAGGGATGTGGGATAGATTATGTGAACATGGGATTTTTATGCATACCACAGTCTCAGTTACAACATTCCACTAAACTTGATTGGAACTTCTTGAAAGAGAAAATAAGAATTGATCATAATGACTGCATTTTTAGAAATGTTATATTAATAGAATGCAAATAATCAGTAATTCACATTTGAGATGAATAGAATATAGCAAAAGAAGTATGATTTTAGTGGTTTTTTTTTTTTTTTTTTTTTTACTTTTCTATGGAGAAGACTTTCAAAGTCTGTAGTTAGAAAGCCCTCATATTAGATATTTAAGCCAAATGGAGTCTCCCATTTAAAACTATCTTATGTCGAAGACCTTATTCTCACCTGCTTACCTTTGATTTTGATAGGACCATGTAAACTTTCATAGTAGAGAAAAACTCAACACCATTGGACAGTACCACTTTCACAGATAAAGATAAACCTTCATTTTTGCATTAAAGGTTTTTGAACTTGCTACAGTGAAAAGTTAGTTGGAACTGAAGTTAAAAAAAAAACTTGTACATCAGAAACAGGAGGAATAGAGAGCAGGAGGAAGAAATAACTCAAGAAGTTGGCCTTTAATCCCAGAAGACAAAATTTTCACCCAACAATCTATTGTTTTATTCAGAGATTTTTATCCTACTCTAAGTTCTTCCAGCTTTTGGCCATTGAATATTTAAATATGGATTTAAAATCAGTGGGATAAACCCTTTTCTACTTCCTTATACATCTTAAGAATTATAAAGGTAAATGTTACTAATGTTACTACTTTATTTAAAAAAAATCAACCTTTTAAATAGTCTTTATGTTCAGAATTTTTTAAAATTGTACTTATCTATTAATAGAATTCATAGTTTTAATTTACTTACTATGTGAAGAATGGTGAAATAGCTGGCATTTTTCTGGTGTCCTTATGACTCCTATTGAAAAGGACTTTTTTCCTAAAGTCCTAGAGGTGCTCTTCTAGCCATTTAGAGTAGGATAATAAATTTCTGACAATTACTAGAGAACCTTTTTGGAAACATTGAGAATAAAACCTGTCTGCCCCAGGACTTGTAAAAACTACATTGTAGAACCATATCCAATCTTAGTATCTTTGACTAATGAGGAATATGAAGAAATTTAAAAGAATTTGCAGAAGGGCTAAAAAGTCAATTAAAAGGATATAAAATAAGATGTATAATGGTCAAACTTGAAAGTGTTAGACTTGAAATAATGGGTGAGTGGAGAGAGAAAGAGGGGGAGAGTATGGAGGTGGGAGAGAGAGAAAGAATAAGAGTGAAGAGAGAGGCTGGAGCTGATTGGTAAGTGATTTGTTAGTGACCTTTCTTGTACCTGAACTAATTTTAAAACACAGGACTACAGCTAAAGATGGCAGACAAATCCTAGTTTTGTGGGATGAAGCCAATGATGAGGGTAATGGGCAAATCATTTGGTACCAGAAGGTCTAATCTAGACATTCTTTGGCATCACTGTGGTTGTCTAAAAGAAATTGGTCCTCAGAATGTGAACCTTTAAGCTGTGCAAGGTATCAACTATCAGCGATTGTTACATTTAAAGTGTGTATAGAGGCAGAAAAATAAACTAATTTTTTTTAGATTCTCCCTTCCCCAGAATGTTGGCAGTTGAACCTTTAGTTTGTGAGTAAAGCACATCATTAGCACCACCCATTCACCAAGCAATTT